GGAGGGAGATAAATACGGGGAAGTTGAAAAGAGCCGTGGAGGAAGCGCGGAGGTGACGAGCATTGGAATAGCGAGAGAGCGAAATCTGAGGATGCTGTCACTCGAAATCTGAGTACGCTGTCACTCCGATAAATGTTGTTGAGAGTGGTGCAACTCTCTCCACTTCAATTCTGAGGCTTTGGCTTCCCCTGTGGGACATCAGGCGACACGGCTGAGGCACCCCTCCCCTCTGGGGAGGACCCCGGCACGACAGGAACATTCTATTGGGAGCACTATGGCACTGTATCAGGACTACAAAGCAGTGCCATAGCGACCCCATTGAGATGCCTGGACTCCATTTAGATACACCGATGTTTGCTACTGCTGTCCCCTGGAAACAAGGTGCTCACTGGATACAGAATTCAAGTGGGGGGGGGGACCGGACAGTTTTAAAACCCAGGGAGCAGGCTGGTGCTTTTTTTATATATAATATTTTTTATTTGTTTTCCACACAATACCACATACATAAACCCGTATACCCAACCACATCTAAACAAATACAGATACATTCAACCCTCACCCACCACCACCTTTCCTATCTCTGTTTTCGGGAGCAGGCTGGTGCTTTTTAATTCATCAAAGCCCAAACTAATGAAGCCCCTCCTCCTCCTCCTTTTTCATGCTGTGCTGGTATGTTTTTGCTTATTGCTATTTTCAGTGATTTGGTCTTTCAACAGACATGATAAATACAATGTCTGCCCTGAAATTACCTTTTAAAATCCATGCTGAGATGCAGTAGCAAACGTCAGTGTATTTAAATGAAGTCCAGGGATCTCAATGGGGTCCCTATGGTGCTGATTTGTAGTCCTGCTGCAGCGCCATAGCACTCCCAATAGAACATTAAAAAAAAAAAAAAGAATGATCGCATGCAGGGAGAAAAAGGGCGCAAAAAGAACTGTCATCGCAGGAAGTGCTACATGGGCCGTTTTACACAGCCCCCCAAAGCGCTTCAGGAGAGTAGAAGGAATTAAAGACCGGTTGGAAGCAGTCTGTAGTTAAAACGGCTCAGGCATGCTTCCTGAATGGGACAAGAGCATTTCTGTCTGAAAGGGTAGCTATACCACACTAATGATCGTATTTGCTGAAGATTTTAAGGAGGCAATGTGGGCATTCCAGCTCAAGATTTCACTGAATATTAGACCCAAATATTTGTGATTTTTACTCTGTTCTATTGGAGTACCTTGTATACTCCCAAGAATACTTTTTAGGCTTTTTTCGAAAGACCACTACTTTAGTTTTTGAGTAGTTGATAGTAAGCTTTTCTTCTGTACAGTAGTCCCCCAAGTTATCCAAAAGCCTCTTTAATCCAATCCTGGTTAGAGAAACTAGGACCATATCACCTGCATACAGTAATATTGATAATTTTTGTTGACCTAATGTCGGTGGGACAAATTCAGGCTGGTTAGTCTTGCTACAATATCATTTATATATAAGTTAAAAAGTACAGAGGCTAAAACACAGCCCTGCTTGACTCCTTTGCAAGTCGGTATTTTGCTGGTCATCGAACCTGAGGTACCTACTCTAATTTTTGCACATGTGCCTGTATGTAGCTCACAAACAAGGAACAACAGTCTTTTATCAATATTTGTTTACATCAGCTTGTCCGAGAGTCGTTTTCTATCAACTGAATCAAAAGCTGTGGCCAAATCAACGAACACAGCGTATAAGGCTTTAGTTGGATGGACCTTTTATAGCCGAGTAAGCCAGCTGATAAAGAGTATGGCAATGGTCAATTGTTCCCTTGGCCCTTTCTAAATCCTGCCTGTTGGGGATATAACATATGTTGTTTACCTTGACTTCTAGAAAGCTTTTGATAAAGTTCCTCATCAAAGGCTCCTAAGTAACCTCAGTAGTCATGGGATAAAAGGACAAGTCCTCTTGTAAATAAAAAACTGGCTAATTAATAAGAAACAGAGAGTGAGTATAAATGGGCAATTTTCACAGTGGAGGGTGGTAAGCAGTGGGGTACTGCTGGGATCAGTACTGGGTCCGATGCTTTTTAGCTTGTTCTTTAATGATTTGGAGTTGGGAGTAAGCAGTGAAGTGGCTAAATTTGGGGATGACACTAAATTGTTCAGGGTGGTAAAAACCAGGGAGGATTGTGAGGTACGTACTCAAAATGAATCTGTCGAGGATGAGCGAGTGGGCATCAACGTGGCAAATGGGGTTCATTGTGGCCAAGTGCAAGGTGATGCACATTGGAGCCAAAAATCCTAACTATAAGTAGACGTTGATGGGGTCCGAACTGCCAGAGACTGACCAAGAGTGAAATCTTGGAGTCGTAGTAGAGAACTCAATGAAAATGTCGAGACAGTGTGCGACTGCAAAAAAAAAGGCCAATGCTATGCTGGGGATTGTTAGGAAGGGAATAGAAAACAAATCAGCCAATATCATAATGCCCCTGTATAAATCAATGGTGCAACCTCATTTGGAATACTGTGTACAGTTCTGGTCAACACACCTCAAAAAGGATATTATAGCATTGGAAAAAGTGCAGAAAAGGGCAACTAGAATGATAAAAGGGTTGGAACACTTTCCCTATGAAGAAAGGTTAAAGAGCTTGGGGCTCCATAGCTTATAGAAACAATGGCTAAGGGGTGACATGATTGAGGTTTACAAAATTATGCATGGGATAGAGGAGGTAGAGAAAGAAGTACTTTTCTCCCGTTCTCACAATACAAGAACTCATGTATCGCATGCAGGGAGAAATGGGTTCTCTATTGGCGTTTCTTCCTTTCGATAAGTCTTTTTGAAAATGGGGGTAAAGCAATGATTTTCTCGTGTGTAAAATTATGGTGGTTTCTTAAATGGTGTTCGTCTCCCCCTGACTTTTTTCTCCCTGGTAAATTAGTTTTGTTTTGTTAAATGGCTTGACTGTCGGGATGGCAGCAATTACTGATGTATTTGAAATGGTAAAAGCTTGTAAAACCTCATTTGGTTTTTCTCCTCCTCAGGGCACTCTGCCTTTGTAAATGGGCTTTGTCCGTTTAAAATGCTGGTCTGGCAAACAGCCAGCTGGCAGCAATTATGGGCTTTAGATATGTATAAGTAAGTAGGAAGAGTGACTTTACATTACACTAATGGATTTGATGAGTGTTACTATGAGATACTACTAGAGAGTTTGTCAAATGGATTAATATTGTAAGTATGTTATATATATATATGGCTTTCCTGGGGACACCTTCTTTGGGGGAGCCATAACTCGAACCCCATAAATTCAATCCTCACCAACCTTGGCATGTAGGTAGAGGTGGGTTAGCCGGATATCCCTTGTGAGTTTGGTGTCTCTATCATGCTGAGGGGTGTTCTACCATGTCACAAACCTCACAAATGAAACTGGTTTATTTGTGATGTTTCATGGTTCATGAAGCTGGCATACCATGAACCATACCACATTTTCCCAGTTCATGCCCATCACTACTCAACACCAGTTCTCTAGGTGAAATCCATCTGGTTGTCCTCATGAATTACCCCTGCATTGACCCATGTGGATCTATAAGAACCAGATCATCACTGAGACAGTACCCTAAGACCACAATTGTACCTTTAAAGATTGACTACCTCTTTCAATAGTCTTTCAGTAGTCATGTATGGCTGCGAGAGTTGGACTATAAGGAAGGCCGAGCGCTGAAGAATAGATTCTTTTGAACTATGGTGCTGGAGAAGACTCTTGAGAGTCCCTTGGACTGCAAGAAGATCAAATCAGTCAATCCTAAAAGAAATCAACCCTGACTGTTCCCTGGAAGGCCAGATAATGAAACTGAAGCTCAAATACTTTGGCCACCAAATGAGAAGGGAGCACTCCCTGGAGAAGACCCTGATGCTGGGAAAGATTGAAGGTCAAAGAAGACGGGGACGGCAAAGGATGAAATGGTTAAAAGGTAAAGGTAAAGGTTCCATTGCTCGAAAGCCAGTCAAATCCGACTCTAGGGTTGCGGTGCTCATCTCCGTTTCAAAGCCGAAGAGCCAGCGCTGTCTGAAGACATTTCCGTGGTCATGTGGCCAGCATGACTAAACACCAAGGCACACGGAACGCTGTTATTTCCCACTGAAGTGGTACCTATTTATCTACTTGCAATTTCTTGCTTTCGAACTGCTAGGTCGGCAGGAGCTGGAACTAGAGACGGGAGCTCACTCCGTCATGCGGCACAGTCAGGTCTCGAACTGCTGAACTACCAATCTTCCATAGCCTGAAGTTCAGCGTCTTAACCACTTGAGCCACCGCAGCAATGATTGATGCAATGAACATGAAATTAAGGAAACTCTGGACTACGGTAGAAGACAGGAGTGCCGGGTGTGATGTGGACCATGGGGTCTTGAAGAGTCAGACTCGACTGTGTGACTGAACAACAACATGTTTGAGTGGTAGGTGGGGATGGTAGAATAACGAGGATGTAAAGGGAATGGCAGGCAAAGATTTTGATGGGGCTAAAGGGTTTCTGAGAGATGCTTTACAGAAAGGGAAATGACAGAGGGTTTCTGAGAGATGCTTTACAGAAAGGGAAATGACAGGAGTTTAACAGTTGCCAGGAATCCAGGTGTTGAGCCATGTACAGAGTTATGCCAGTGCACTAAAACAGTGGTGCAAAGTGCTCCTGTGTATATGCATGACTTATTGTGAGACTTCATGTGTGCAATTTCCTAATAAAATAATTGCAATAACTGGTGTTTTGGCTGCAGAAAGTTAACACTTATGAAGCAAGAAGTCAGATACCGGTTAAGTAGCATATTTTCAATTTTGCCAGTGAGCTTTCTTAGCCTGGCTCTTTGTTGATCTCGTGCTCTGAGTGTTGCTGTTTGACTCTTGAGTTGTCAGAGTCGGCTGACCTCTGCTCCAGTGGCTACGAGCGCCTTCCACTCCAGCCAGCAGCTGCTACTCCAGGCCCTGGCTTCTCACCAGCTGTGTGGTTTTGGTGTTTCCTCCTCTCTGCGTTGAGTCAGCCTTGGTTGGGTCTTTTTGCTCCGGTTGCCTGCAAGACTTTGAAAACACAGAAGAGTTAGGAGGAGGGAGACAAAAAAAAGAGAACAACCTCCGCTTTTCCAAAACAATAAGAGCCCAGGCCCTGAGATCGATGTACGGCTCCTCTGGGGAGTAGGGACCCCTCACCTGAGCAGGTAAGATAACACGCAGGGCTCCTCTCTCTTGGAGGGGGGAGGTAGAGATACTGCCTTTGCTGACGGCATATGGGAATGCTGGGGTCTGATTGAAAATATGGAAGTGCCCCAGCGAAGGGTATGTCTGTGATGGCAGTTTATACAGTGTACATTGCAATTCTAGGCAGAGCCACTGCAGGCTAAACTTTGCCCCGACTGTTAAAGGTGCAGGAGCCCTGATTTCTCTATAACATTGGTATTTCTAAAACAAAACAAAGCAGAGCAAAAAAACTAAATTTGGTCCTGCTATATCCTGGCATTAGCAGAGGGCCCCATCCAAATTATTAAAACCCCTACCAGTGGCTCAGGCAGTTTATCCAGGTTAGGCCTGTGAGCAAGTGCAGTGCAGTGGTTCGAGTGTCGGACTAGCATTTGGAATATCTGGGTTCAAACCCCATAACCTGCCATGGAAGCTGGCTAGGTGACCTGGGGCCAGTCACACAATCTCAGCCAAACCTGCTTTATTTATTTAAAACATTTATTAGCCATCTTTCTGCCTTACAGAGCTCAAAATGGCTTATAACATAGATAAGATACGTCCATTAGAATACATAAAGAGCATAAAAACCAAAATTTAAAATCACACTTTAGGACTGCTAGTAACTTAGTCAAATGCGGTCCTAAATATCTACCTCATAGGGTTGTTGTAAGGATAAAGTAGAGGAAAGGAGAATGATGTAAGCTGCTTTGGGGTCCCCTCAGGGGAGAAAGGAGGGGTATAAATAAATAAAATCTATAAATCTAACCAGGGGTCTTGTTGTAGAAAAAGAGCTGCCGGAGCTCATTAGCATAACTCATTAGCATAACTTATTTGCATATGCCACGCCCCCTGACATCACCGGAAGTGACAGAAGGCCACACCCCCTGACATCACCGGAAGTGTGTCAGAAGGCCCGGCTACTTACCCTCCTGCTTCATCCTCATTCCCAAACGGAATGAGGATCGAAGCAGAGGGCGGGTAAAGAAGGGGCGGGGCTTCACCACGTGACGGCCCCGCCCCCTAGAGGTTCTCTTCCGGAGCTCCGTACCTGAGAGCTCCCCCCCGACTAGAGCCCTGAATCTAACCAAAGAATCCACTTCTTTGCTGGGTTTTCTGTGGTGTTATATTGGCTACCCAGAATCAGAGTTCCATAAGGAGATCCCGTGGGTTCCATTAAGCCTGCCAGCCAATCAGAAATGTTTCTGAGTACCTTTCGTTTTCTTCCCTGGCCCTGCTGTGGAGATCATGACATTGGTTTTGTTGACTTTACAGGGCAGGCCTCTGCAGAGTTAGCCCAGAGTCTGAGCCCATTGAAACCAGAGAGCTTAGACTGGAGCCACTGTGCACAGGGATCGCAACATGAAGCATTTTGCCTTGGAATGGTGTATTTGGTGCTTGAAGGATGTGAGCTCACGGACAATTTAGGAACAATTACCACTGATCATGACACTGATGTTTTCTTTTTTCATCCCCTCGTAAAACATGCTTGAACTGAGACTTTTGTTGATTATTAAAATAAACTTGTAGGTGATGAATCTGCTGATCAAATCAGTTGGGGTAGCATGCCTCAGACCACTCTCTCAGACTAACCTACCTCACAGGGTTGTTGTGAGGATGCAAGCACAGGGGGGAAACCATGTGAACCACCCTGAGCTCCTTGGAGAAAGAGCAGGATGAACATGGGATAGGCCACTGAAAGCTGCTTGATGGCTGGAAGCAGGGCAGTGTGCAGGTTAGAATGTTGCATAAGAAACCTGAATCCCAGTCCCCTGCAGCTGTTCAGTTGAATGGGTTCTCTCTCTCACCCCTACCTCACAAGGCTGTTGTTGTAAGGATCAAATGGAGCAGGTGAGACTCAGGAGCTCCTTGTGCCAGGAGCTCCTTGTGGAACGGGCGGATAAAAGTGTGACAGATACTGTGTTTAATTAGTTTTTTGGAAAGGTTTTTGTATTGCTTTTTTATGCCAATTTCCAAAGTGGTGTATTTTAGAGAAAACAAACAAAGGTCCCTGCCACATGGGGGGGGGGATGCGTGGGCAAAGTGCAGCTATTCAAAGCTGCACCAAAATAGGCACGCGGCGGTGGGATCACACAGATCCAGTGAGCCGCCGCGCACTTTCTCCCCGGCACGATCAGATGCCGGGGAGACCGGGGAGAAAGCCACGAAACAGAGAGGGAGGCTGCTGGGAGCCAGGAGCCTCGGATGCGCCGGCAGAAGGACGCGCCGGCGATCCCACGGCCGCGCTGGCCGCGACCTTTCTGGTAAGTCCACCTCTAGGGGTGGTTCTTTTTTGCAGCGGGTTTTCGGATCGGGGACGGGTGCAGCGGGTTTTCGGATCAGAGACGGGTGCGCGCCGCTTCCGAGATGTTGCGGTGCGATCGCGCCCGTTTGCTGCGCCCCTGATCCGTCCCTCTCTCGGCCCAAACCCTTACGTGTGACCGGGGCCAATCATGAATTTTAAAGCCCTCAATAAAAAAAAGAATGAAAATAAAATGATAACACTGACTGGCTGTGAGCTCAGTTCCAAGGGATGAAGAAGCAGAGGGTGTTCTCTGTTTGTCCAAGGTGTGCTCTACAGCAGGCGTATTTTTATATGTCATAGAGCCACTGATGGCTGTTCTTCTCCACCCAGTTGTTTTCTTCCTGCTGTGTTTTCAAGTGTACTACATCCTGCCTTCCGTCCTCCCACTGTTATGGCTGAGACACCTTTTGGTGTTTTCCAGTGGGGAAAGAGGCAGGGCCACAACCTTTTCTTTTCTAGGGCTGTGGTGAGACCTCAGTCTTATTTACTTTGATTCCGCTTGGGGTGGGGGGAAGAGGTTGTGGTTGCTTACAAACAGGACATGGGCTTAGCTGAACCCTTGTGTTTGCTTAACTCGCTTTCCTCAAGACAGGGATGCTGGTCTTCATGGGCTCTCTCAAGGTGTGCTCATGGGGACCCTGATGTTTGGGACTTATATTGGTTTACTGAACTGCAACATCTGGATGGAACTCTTGAAGAGGAACTAGTCTGTGGCCGAGTGGCAGAGCATTTGCTTTGCAACCAGATGTTCCCAGCTTCAATCCCTGACATCCCCAGCTGAAAGGATCAGGCAGTAGGAGATGTGGAAGACCTTTTTCTGAGACCCTGGAGAGCCACTGCCAGTCAGAGTAGACTATAGACCAAGGATCTGACTCAGTTGAAGTTACTTCATGAATTCATAAGGGAGGGCCCATGGCTCACTGGCAGAGTATCTGCTTTGAATGCAGAAGGTCTTGGGTTCCAATTCCAGCATCTCCAGTTAACAGGATCAGTTATTAGGTGATGTGAAAGACCGCCACCTGAGACCGTGGAGAGCCACTGGCAATTAGAGTGAACAAGACTGACCATGATGGATCCATGATCTGACTCAGTATAAGGGAACTTAAAGGGTTGTTGTTTTTTTAAAGTGTAAAAAGTATATGCAGCGCTATTTTTGGGCAGGAACGCACAGGAACGGAGTTCCGGCTGGCTCCTGAGTTGGCCACGCCCAGCTGGAACTCATTAGCATAATAGGCTACACCCAATAGCAGAAACGCATTAGGATTGGCTACATTAGGGGTGTGTGGCCTAACATGCAAAGCAGTTCCTGCTACAAAAAAGCCCTGGGTTTTGACAACAAACAAGGTAAACAGAATAAGAAGCAAAAGGTTGGTGTGGCTGGATGACCACACTTCTGGTAACATGGGGGTGCGGCCTAATGTGCTAATGAGTGGTGCTGTCAGGGGTGTGGCCTGATATGCTAATGTGTTTCTGCTATTGGGTGTGGCCTATTATGCTAATGAGTACCTGCTGGGTTTTTTCTACAACAAAAGCCCTGAGTATATGTAACCAGCAGTGTCTGTTTTTTTTCTGGACATACCAGATATTTTATCAGGGAGAGGTTTGGGTACCTTCTCATGACAAGATTCCACACAGTGGTCAGAATAGGCCTGGAACTGTAATTGACCAGAAAAACAGCTAAGCACCACCACCTTTCTTTGGCTTGGTATGCATGCTCAGATATGTGCTCAAAGCTAGCAGAACCAGCCAGCTCCCAGAGCCAATCCACTGCTCTCAGCTGGGCATGATCCTGATGGTACTGCAGCCACCGGGGGAGGGGAGAAGTGAATATCCTCCATGATCACTTTTTAAATTGTGCAATGAGAACCAGGCTTGGCTAAGCAAATTCTTTTATGGCCATCCAAACACCAGACGCCTTTGCATTGCCTCCCTCTTTATCTTGGGCATAACTGCTTATCAAGATATTAAATGTCACTTAATGTGTTTGAATTGCAGCAGTTCTATAGTAAATGCAACCGTATCTCTTGTGAGATTAAATACTGCATTGAACATTCTTGACAAAGGAGGAAACAGTGGGGTGTCCGTTTAATAGCCTGTCTGCTTTAGAAGCAAGACAAACACTTGCTGAGGAAAGATAAGCAATTGCCTGTGTGTTTATGTATGTATGCACATACTCGTGTGGGAGTAGGGGTGTCATAAGTGTACAAAGATGCCCCTGAGCTGATGTGGCATAGTGAATAGACCGTTGGACTAGGATCCTGGGAGACCCAGATTTGAATCTCCACTCTGTTATGGCAGCTTGGTGGGTGACCTTAAGCCATTCACAATCTCTCAGGTTGACCTACTTCACAGGGTTGTTGTGAGAAAATAGAGAAGGGGCGAATGGCATGTTAAGTTGCTTTGGTTACCCAATGGGGAGAAAAAGTGGGATATAAATTTTAAAAAATGCAATGTATGCCTGTTTTCAACTGTGAAATGTTGAAACCCCGGACCAGCTCCTGCCAGCACCAAGTTTCACAAAACATCTGCCACAGCTGTGGCTCCCTACAAGTGCCCAGCCACTGGATCTCTAGTGGCATGGTGGTAGCATTAGTGGAAGGACTGAGACCCAATCCAGCCAGCCCTGCTGATGCCCCTCAGGTGGGCTGGGCTGATCTCTTTCGAAAACTTGGGAGCCAG